CATAAAAAAATCCGCATATATGTATTTACATTATGACATTAATTAGATTTGTTAATCAACTTATATCGAATACCCCATTCATTTGCACATTCCGTATCAAATTTAACTTTGGTAAATTTCAAGATTTCCCAGAAAAATAAAATAAAAATTCATGTGTAACCACTGAATTTAATACCCGTCACTTTTATTTGAAGAGAACAACCAGGTCCCAATTATGCAAAGTTGGATGGTTTAATTCACGTTTTCTATGAATCGGTCTCAGAAATCTTTAAAGAAATTTTGATAAGGACTGCCATATGGTTTTTGATTAATTGGACAAAGAAACAAAAGTTACACGAACAAATGATATTTGTTATTGTTTATTTTATTTGTATTTTGTTATTTTGTTTATAAAATAAAATGTTCGTTTTTTGAAAATTCTTCTTTGTTGTGAAAACAAAAACAAAGTATGAATCGAACGTGATTTAATTAATGCCAACGGTTAAGATGAAACGTTCTTTTATTATGACCTGATCGGCCGGTAAAACATATTATTAATGTTAAAATAATATATCCGATCCATTATTAATTGAAGACCTTTTTGGGAAATGAGGATTTTATATTTACCTGATCTACAACCAATTATTCCAAACAATATAAATAAGATAAAATTTCAATTTTTTCTCGATATATTTTTTGCATTTTTTTACATTAAAAGAAAGAAAATCACATTCATTAATACTTACTTATACATACAATCAAAACCAACAAGCTATCGAGAAAAAAGAATTCATTAAATTAATTCTAACAAAATAAAAAAATATTTTGTAATTCGAAGGAATTTTGATTATAAATAATTTTTTTCTTCTCTTTAATCATGGAGAGTATTTCATCACAACCTATTATTAACACTGTTAACCAAACAATTTTAAAACCAAACCCCCAATCCTTTGAAATTGTTCAAAAAATTTCACCCGACTCTACACAACAAGTAATATCGACAAAAACTCAAATCAAAGATTTAACAAAAGATTGCAAACAAGTCTCAACAGACGAATTTATCGTAGATAAAATTGATGAAAAAGACAATGAGGTTGAAAATAAGTATAAAGACAAAAATGAACAAAATATAATTTATAAAAGTATATTAGAAGGTGAGTTGCCAAGATCACCAACATTAGTAGAAGAAGAAACAAATCAATATCTAATAGATAACCCCAGCTTTAATAGTAGTAATATTAGCATAAACACAAACATTAATTGTGATAATATTAATGAAATGGATATAAGAAATTATTTGCAATATATTGCAGCAATGATAATAGGCAAGCCATTAAAAGATTTAGATGATCACGAAGAATCTTTATTCAATATTGGAATGAATGAACTCCAAAGTAATTTATTTCTTAGGAAAATTAATAATATTTTACCAACATTTACAAAAATAAACAATTTAAATTTTATTCAAGAACATAATTCAATTGATTTAATTACAAAAGTTATAAATGGTGCTTTAAATAATAGAAAATCATTAAAAAATACTATTGAAGGGGATAGGGATGACAGGAAGAAAAATGATGTAAATGATTTAAATCAACAACAACATGATTTAGAGGGTTTAGTTGATAAATACACATTATATATAAAAGAAAATTATCAACAATCAATTGAAACTACTCGACCAAATTTAAAATCATCAACAATAAAAAAACGAATTTATTTATTAACTAGTGCAACAAGTTTTTTAGGTGTACACATTTTATATGATCTATTAACAAATAATGCTACAAATGATTCAGAGATTTATTGTTTGATCAAACGTAAAAAAAAAGCACATAGTCCAAAGGCATCATTAAAACACGCTTTTCTACTTAATGGCTTGGATATTTCATTGATAGATTCAAAAAATAATTTGATAGTTTTACCAGCAAATTTATCCGAATCATATTTAGGGTTATCAATACAACAATATGAATCTTTGTCAAACAAAGTGACCACTGTTATACATAGCACTTCTTTAATCACAAGTTTAAGATCCATTAGTATATCCACAGGTGACACAACACTACCTAGTTATGAGAATTGTCATGTTTTACCTACTTCAAATTTATTATTATTTAGTGCAAAAAAAGAGTTTTTTTATATTTCCAATATCGATTCTTGCATAAATGGACCATGGGAAATAATACCTGAAGGTATATTTCCTATTAAATCCAGCATAACAACACAAGATGGATATGGATTAAGTAAATTAGCAATTGAATCAATCATAATAAATACATTTGATTATCTACAATTAGAAAAATTAAATATAATCAGATTATCTACTTTAACCAGCTCTACCGTCACTGGTGCATGGAATCCCGATGATTTTGTACCCTTACTGTTATCAAATGTAGGAAGGACTGGTCGTATGCCTGTATTTGAACTGGATATAGATTGGGTGCCTGTCAATATTGCATCAAAATCTATAGTGGAATTGATAACAATGATGCATCATAATACGTTTAGAGTTGAAATTAATCATTTAAGAAATCCTGATACATTAATGACATGGAAAGATTATCTTGATGTTTTGGAAGAGTATGTTGAAATGAAATTTGAAAGACAAGAGTTGAATGATTGGCTAAAGCAACTTGTTGTGGATTTGGAAAATGTAAATTTAGAACATTATGAAAATAAAAGTGATTTAATGTTATTTGAACATTTTAAAAGAATCAAACAATTTCAACATGGTGATGATAATGCTATTGATAGTAATAAAAATCCTACTAAAAGCAACAATAGTCATGATTTAAACAAACGAATTCAACCAAAACTAGATATAACAAACACAAAATCCAAATCATTAGGTTTACAAAAATGTCCTCCGATTTCTGAAGATTTAATTAAGTTAAACATTAATTGGTTAAGAAATACCAGTTATTTGGATGAGACTTATTATCAGCAAATAAATAAATCTTTACGAAAAAACAATAAAAAAATGAATTTCACCAATAACGAGGCAGAAACAGGTTTATTAGGATGGATCTGTGTAACTGCACCATTGATGGTCTTTTTTTTTATAATTGATGTATTGTGGAGCATCTTGTCAAAAAACTTTTGGGAGATTGGATTCATCTTAGGATGGTTTATAACAGTCATATTTGTTGATGATAAGAATATCAATAATAGAGAAAAATCTCAAAATAATGAAGAAAATCCCAAAAGAATAATTGTTAATAGAAAAAAACGTTTGATTAGAAGAAGAGTTGTTAATAATGGAAATTAAGCATAAATATAATTATTAAAAAATTATTACTAATGTATTTTTAATGTATTTTAAAATGTATTATTATAAAGAACTTTTCGAATAATGAATAAATTTTAAACAAAGCAATTTTTAATTTTGTACTTTTGGCAGATGAATAAATTCAGGAAAATACATATATGATTTCATAACTGCATGCCCATTATCCTTTAAAAGTTTCCTTGCCGATTTTGAAGTTCAATTTCCATAATCATGGTCCAGTTTGACAAAATAATTTGTATGAGTGGATTAGCATATTAATATTACATGATTTAAAATCTGAATTAGTAAAATAAACCAGATCCAAAACTTAATTGACAGATCATAGCACAAGATCAGAAACCGATTATTCAAGTCTAAATATATTTATTTTCATTGTCATAAACTGGCTAATTGATGGTCCAAATGTAGGACATCATGTAGGTTTTTTATGTGGATTCACAAATATATGGACGAGTTGATTTTGTCACAGCTATTGATTATAGCAAATAACAGACTTATGGTGTATTGACAGATCATCCCAAAAAATTAGGCAGTGGAATTGATAATTGTCATTTTGTAAAGATGATGGAACATGTAAACTTTTTTTGATGATGAAATCCCAAGAGAATTGATTAGCAAAGTCTGGTAACCAGTTACTAGAATTAAACACTTTCATTAAAAAATTAGAAAAGTTAGTAATGAATATCAGCCTTAATCGTTGTTGATATTTGATGTATTATTTAATTTATATACACTTGTAGATATTTTCTCGTTTTAATTATTAATAACAAATTTTTCAATTCTAAAAGATCAAGAGAAATATTGTCTTGATTATTACTATCTAGTGTGCAATTTTTCTTTTCTTTATTATTTTTTTAAGATCAATGTTGTTTTGATCCGAATCTTCTTCATGTATAGAAGCATTTTCATCCTCATCTTCTTTTTCTTCATTGTCATCATCACCATTCTCCTCCTTGAATTAAGATTAAATGTATTCTCAGTGAAGAATAACACTCTATGAAACAAAATTTTAAACTTGATAATAATATACAAACCATATTCACGTCTTCTGCCTCTCCATTTTGTGCATTTTCTACAACTTCTCCGTTTTCACCACCATTCATTCCGGTATCTTCATTTTTGTCTTGATTATTCTTTTTGGTTTTCTGTATTAAAAAATATTAGATTTAATAAATCATATCAATATATCAATATATGTTATATAAACGTTGACAAACATTATTACCTTTTTTGTGTTTGGTTTTTTCTTTTTATTATTGTCATCATCATCAATTTTATTTTCAAGTTCATCAATCTTTTTTGTTTCAATTCTAAAATCTCGAGCAGTTGATCGTTTAATATATTGGATTAAGTTTGCCTTCTAGTTAATTAAGTATAAATATAATGTTATTTTAACGTATTAAATAATAAAATAATATCATCATCATCATTACTTTTGATTTTTTTGACAATTGTATTAAATAACGCTCAAATTGTTCTATCATGAAAATCAATTTAGGCACCATTTTAGATTCTCTTGCAATTCGAGCCTAATGTTTAAAATAGAGTAATTATATATAATATTATTATTGTTATTATAAATAAATAATATATTTATAAACCTTTTGACTTGTTGATTTGGATTTTGAACTTCCTTTTCTATTTAGACGATCGACTGCTTCATTTGTTTGCCCAAACGACATAATAAAACTATACAAATGTTCTGTTAAATGTAGACCAGTCTTTTCAACAACATCAATGAATTGTTTACTTATCTCTCCTGCTTCTGCAATTTTCTAAAAAAAATCAAATTTTTTCAAATAATTAATTTTAAGTAATAATAAAAATAAACAGATAAAAATTTTGATCATTTTACATATTTAATTAAAGATTGCAAAACTTTGTATGTTTTTTGTAAACATTTAATTAATGTTTCAGATGGGGCTGATTGAAGTGAGGTTTGTTCAAGATGTATCAAAGTATTAATCAGGATGACCAATTTTTTACAAATTGAATTTTCAAATTCTTTAAGATCAATTGGTTCTTCATCATCATTATATCCTTGAAAAAATATTAATTTTAATAATTATTTAATAGTTATTCAACAATTATAATATAAATTATAATTACCTTTTTTACTATTGATTAATTTCATTCTGATTAATAGCCATTCGATTTCATCATAGGTTTGCTCTATAAACTCAAGTAATATAACGCAAACAATATTACTGGTTCTTGAATTAACAATGGCAAATTTCGGCATTTGTGATTCATCTGACTCTGAATAAACATCACAACTTCCCAGAACAGATAATATATCACGTCCAAACTCTGACACTATATCAAAATCTGACATTTCTTTTTCCAGTTTGATCAACATACTAACAATTATTTTTGTCAGAGCAACATTATCAATTGCATGCTCTTTACATAACATTCTAAGCCATATGATCAATTCTTGGTGTCCTTTAGATTGGTTCTCATTGGAGTTAAACGTGAAATATGATGATAATAATGTTATTATTTGGCATAATTCTGATGCTTCTTTAATTCGTGGTATTTGTTCACTTAACGATGTGATTACTAAAAACTATTTATTTAATTTTTTAAAAATTAATTAATTTTATGTTATTATGATTAATTATTTAAAAATATTTGAAGTTATATATTTATTTTTACTTCAAACTCTTTAATATATAAATCCAACCAATCATCCAGATTACTAAGTTTTTTTTCATCTGATGGGTAAGACATTTCCAAGAAATCCATCAGTTTATCCGGCCAACACTTCAATATTACTTTACATAATAACATAAAACTTTCAATTGCTGTTGCAAGTATAGATTGATTCTAAATATGGATTTATTATATGCATATACATAAGTTTTGTTAATTCTTATAAATAATGAATTAAAAATCATTAAAAATTTTTTTACTTTATTATCAATTTGTAAACAATTGATGTTTGCTTTGTTTTTTTTAATAAATTCATTCATGAACACTTGAGCCAATGATATGCAATATTTTAATGTTGATTGATCTCCTGGATCAAAATTTGTTGTAATCTTTTATTTAAAAAAAAACTTGTTATTATTAAATTCAAGAATTTTTCAATAACGATTAATAATTATTGTTGTAATTACCTGAGATATTTTATTATGTGCTAAAGCAGTTATATAGTTTACAAAATCTGAATTTGATCTTAAAATTGTTCCAGCATTATTAGAGACTTGGCAATCGAAGGTATTAAATGTGAGTTGAAAGAGTTCGACAATACATTTGAAACTTAGAATAGAATATTCCGTGACTGAGGCTACAGTTTTTCGACCTAATAATTGATTAGCTTATTAATTCATCAATCAACCAGTCAACAGTAATTTATTTCAAATATATATACCTCTAGCATTTACAGATTTTTCTTTTAGGATCATAAAAAGTTCCAAATATTTATTAAATAATTTTAATATCAAATTTGAAGTATCATTATTTTTTTCACGTGAAAAAAAAATATATTCAATTGATGCCTGAAAATATATAAGAAATAAAATCAATCTTAATATAATTATTGAAACAAGATAATGCATTCAATAGTAATATTATTTGGTCATAAAGATACTAATTATTAAGTTCTTTGTTATATTATTACCTCATAACATCCAAGCAATAAAGAAGCACACATGTTATTTTGGATGCCCACATTAGTTACCATTTTATAATCAGCATCCTCGCTAATTCTAAATTCAATCATTTCTGAATAAGCAAATTTTTCGGCCAATAAATCCAACTTATTTACACATTCTGAAAGTTGTGATTCATCAAATTCTGATAGTTCTAAATTTATTGTAATTATTATTTAATTAAATTAAAGTAAATTAAAATAAATATTTCAAAAGTCACTAACCATCTTGTCCAGAATTTTGTTTTTTTTTATAACTAGTTATTGATTTGCTTAAGCAAGAAAATAAACGTGGTAAAGGCTCAGCAATGCTTGGTGTACCATTATTGGTTTCAATACAACTTTCTAAATTAACTGTAAAATGAACATCTGTTTGCATTTCCAAAAATCGTTGAAACTATATAAAATAAATTATAAATATTAATCATTATGTATAGTATTATATGAAAATAGGAAGTTCATTTTAAAATATATACTTGAAAATATAATATATCAAATATGACAGGATTAAGATCTTGAATATCATCCATCAATTTACTCAAGCCTTCATATAAAGAAAGACGAATTTGAGACTGTTGACTGTAGCATTTACGTAATACACCTAATACATGGATATTTTAAAATAAGTATAAAAAATCAATCAAATTATTTAAACGATTAAATAACCTACCCATTATTTCTAAAATCAGCGAGTTAGTTGAATTTGAAGAGGAATTTGAAGAGGATTGTGAAATTGCCAAAACGTTGTCATCATTATCATTATTATAATTATTGCCATTTGAAAAAATTTTCAATAATCTTAAATATCCTGTCAAGGCAACTTTTCTGGCCTCTATATCTCTATTATAAGAACATCATTATTACAAATATCAAAACATTATTATATAAAGTCAGAAAAAAAATTTTAAACAGGTACGGTCTAATTAATTAATTACTTTGTAAATAAACATTTTCTCAAAACCAACATAAGTCCATCACGAATTGAAATGTTTCTATAAATTATTGGCTGTAATGCACGTAAAAGATGATCTGCAATATAAGATGGAAGAAGTGAAAAGTGATCAAGAGTTCCTTTAATCTGTATATAATAAAAAATATATTAAAAAATCTTTTTTTTAAACAATAACAATTAATTAAGTATTTTTTTCTACTGACTCTTTGTATATAATCATTTAAAGAATCAGGTTTTTCTTTTACAATTATTTCTAATAAAGTCAAAAAATGACCAACACTAGGTGACCTTGATACAACACGAGACTGTATTTGATCCAAAATTTCAACACGAACCATCTCATGCATCTATAATGAAATATATATATAATATAATTTTGATTATATTTTGCAAGCTGTTAAAGAGTCAAGGTTACATTTTTGATAATCCTAACCTTGAACATTTCTAATAATATGATTACACCCAAATCACTAGCAGCTTCATTTGGTGTTTTTGATCCAATTTTTTTCTCTTTGAAAGATAAATATTTAGAAAATAATCCAAATATTTAACAAAATTGATTTAATTGTTTAGTTAATTAATTGAATTAGTTTGATTACCAGTAATCTTTACACAAGAAGCCGATGAAATAGTAGAGTCCATGATAAAAGTTCCTAGCTGTACTAAACTTTGAATTACATTATCGTAACCAAAGGATGTTTTTTTCAATACCTTTTTAAAAAGATCATCTAGTGGTATTAAACTAACTATTTGCGATATATCTAACTCTAAAATAAAAATGAAAAGACTTTTATTGTAGAGATATCCATCCAACACCAAGAAATAAACATGGTTGTTATTATTATTATAGTTACTTGAGATCCATTTTGCACTTTCGAGTTTTTCTTTGTCTTTATAAACAGCCATTATAGATGACTTTAGATAATCGAAAACCTTGTAAAATTATTAAAAAAATTAAAAAGGTTGGTTTTTTTTTTGTGATATTTATTTAATTGGTTTACTTACTAAATCTTGGAATCTATGGATTCTTGCCATTGATAATAAACAGCAAAGATTGAATGGAGTCAAAAGTGATGCTTTACCAGATTTCATGTATCTAAGAAATTCATTTCCTAATTCCTGCATGATAATAAATATTATTATTATTATTATTATTATTATTATTATTATTATTTTAGTTTAAACATGATTATTATTTTACTATATAATACTTGGTCTTGTGTTATAGCAAAATTGATATGAATAATAATAGTTCCTTCCATAATATTAAGTTGTGTATATGATATGGAATCCATAGAATTATTTTGTTTTTCATCACTGTCACATATAACAAAAGTATTGTATTAAATATTTCTACATAACATATGTAACCAAAATTAAAAAATAACCAACTTTTGATTATGGGACTCCTTAATTTCCTCATCTAAAGCACTAAAGTATTCAGATATACCTTTTAATACAAGATTTTTATGTCCCTAATAATGAAATTTTAATTATTAGGAAAAATTTTTTAAAAAAATTTATGAAATGCATAAATATCAATTTATTGACCTTTCTTGATAGTAAAAGTAATTGAAAAATTAATAGTGGAAGTTCATTGATTTCTGTTGAATCAAATTGTCTACAAAATTAAAATAAATAAAATTATTAAAATATAAATAAAATTAATAATAATTTAACAAAAAATCATACCTCAAAATTTTGTTGATCACCAATTCCAACTTTTATATATAAAGAAAGATTTTATTAAATAAATTATTTGATTGTTATCATAACTTATTATTTAAGGTTTACCTCATTATCTGACATTTGAATATCCCTCAATTCACCAGTTAGGCTTAGAACATTTTTTGTATTCCATCTAGAACAACACATTTTACTTATTAGATAATATTTATAATCCTGAATTGTCATTGATTCGCCAGATGGAAGAATCAACATTTCAGTCCAAGGTTCTAGAATGTACATCAAATTTGGCAAAAATGAAAAAAATTTTTTGTATAATGGTCTACAACTCCCTATAGCTTGAATTATACAATTGATGCACTCTACAAATATTTGTACTGTGATTGGAGAATCCAGCGAACTAAGTGATATCTTTTTTAATAAGATTATTAGTAAATTAATAGAGGAAACACAAAATATAAAGTAAAATAAATAATAAACTTATTAATTATAAACCTCTTTAATGCATATTGACACCAAATCATTTAATGTACTTTCTAACAATGGAGAATTTTCATCATTTTTTCCTGATAACCTATAAATTTTTTTTAATTAATAACATTAGAAAAATTATTTTTATTGAATATCAATGAAATAATTATTACCATTTAATAATTTCTTTGATAATTATAGCATGTCTTTTATTTCTCAATTCTTGTAATTCATAGTTTTCTAAATAATCATCAATAACTGATGCTTTGTAATTAAATTTAGTCAAGCATAGAATTAGGTTATTTCTTGAATTTCTAGTTGGCAAAAAAAAAATTAACAATAAATACATTTAAAAATAGCAGCAATAATTGATAAACATCCATATTCATCATTTTTGCAAAACTTTGACTCGTCATTTAGCAGAGTGTTTACTAAGTTCAATATCTGTAAAATTTTCATTAGAAAGAAATATTAAATATAATATATATTATGTGTGTGTATCATTACCTCATTAATGTCAACCTCATCAAGATATTTCCCAAGTTGGTCAAATTCTTTTTTTGATGAACATTCAATAATTCTTTTATCCATGTTTTATATATTTTTCTTTTAATAATGAAAATACTTCGCAAAACGCGTTTTATTGAATGTGAATGATTACGCGTCCTAATAAAAAAAGCAGTCTGTTACACGATCAAAACTAACTTTTATTGGCTGATCAGAAACACAAATTTTATTTCCAGACAAATTTAGAAACGATTGCCAAAAAAATAAAGCCATTGAATTTTGTGAAAAAAGAAAAGGTCACTTATGAAATTTACCAAGAAAGAAAAATAATAAATGTTAGAAAAAGAAAACAGCATGAAGGTACATTACTACTCAACAAAGGTTGAAATCTTAAAGGGAAAATAATCCTATTATTACAATATTGATAATGATGATGATTTAAAAGCCAAAAAATTGGCTCATGCACCAACAGCACCACCATCAATAGCAATGATGACGTCTTCAACCTTGAAAGTTTTAGCAGCAGTAGAAACTTTAACAACAGAAAGCTTCAAAATTATGGATGAAGATGATAATGATTTTAAAG